TTTAACATTTTTATTTATTTTTGAGAGACACAGTGTGAGCAAGGGAGGGGCAGAGAGAGAGGGAATCACAGATTCTGAAGCAGGCTCCAGGCTCTGAGCTGTCAGCACAGAGCCTGACGTGGGGCTCAAACTCATGAACCGTGAGATCATGACCTGAGCCAAAGTTGGACACTTAACCGACTGAGCCACACAGGCACCCCTATTGTTCAGTCTTTAATCTTGGGATGTCCAGGGGCTCTGGTGCCGTTGTCGAAAAGGCTGTCTCTTCTCCACGGGAGAAGAGAAATCATGTCAGAAAGCCATTGGGCAGGTCTGTTTGGGTGGGTTTCTGGGCATGCACCCCATCCATCTGTCAGCACCTCGCGGTCTCGGTGACCATGGCTGTGCGATGAGTCTTGAAGTCAAGTGCACAGTCCTTCTGTTCTCTCCCAGAATTGGCCTAGCTCTGCTTCTGCTCTGCCGGCTGCATCTATGTTGTAAGATCTTGCCTATATCTGCGTGGCTCTGCTGGGGTCTTGATAGGAACTGTGGTAAACCTGTATTTTGGGGAGAGTCAGATCTTTCCTACAGCGAGTCTCCCCATCAGTGAACGCAGTGGGTCTGTCTTACCTTGCATTTAGATTTTCTTAGAGCTTTTTCATCAGTATTGTACAGTTTTCAGCAAACCATTTCAATACATGTTCTGTTTGATTTACACTTAAGTATTTCATTCTTAAGCAATTGTAAATGGTGTTTTAAATTTTGGTGTTCATGTGTTCATCACCATAGGTAGAAATACAACTGCTTTTTGCGTGTCTATCTTGTCTCCTGAAACCTTGCTGATCTCACTTTTTCCAGGAGTGGTTTCGTAAGAGTTCGGGGATTTTCCACGTAGCGGAGTAGGTCATGTGCAAACAGGGATGGCTTGGTTCTTTCCGTTTCCATCTGATGCTTTTTGGTTGTGTTTGTATTTGTTCAGTTGTGTGTTAGTTTTGCTGTCTTGCACCGGCTTTATGACTGGTGAGAGTGGACACTCTTGTTCTCACCGATGTCACAGCTGTCCTTAGGCTGCAGGACTTGTGTGGAGGCTCCTTGTCATGCTGAGGGCATGTCCCTCTGCCCGGTTTCCCGGGAAGGACCTGGCTCTTCTGTCCTCCCTCCTCTCCCGCTTCAGGCAGGGCCTCCATACCTGACATGGGCCCGGGCCTCCTGCCCCTCCTGTGTTCCAGGTCAAAGCCTCCTTAGACGCACTGGCCCAGAAGATAGCGACCTTCACGGATGTGGGCAACAGCCTGGCACATGCAGGGCATCTCCTGAAGGACCTCACCAGCTTCGAGGAGAAGTCCAGCGTAAGGACAGTGGTGTGGGCCATTGTGGGCAGGAGACAGCCTACGGGGAGTGCTCAGGGCACCACCAGGGTCACTTAGGAAGGCGGGCGAATGGGGCTGTCTCGCCATCCGGTGGGGGGCGTCCGCGGGTGGAGGGACGGAGCCCCTTCCGCTCTCACTCCCACCCCGACGGATCCCGCCCAGGAAATCGCACCTGTTGCTCTAACAAACCCAAGCTGAGCTGTGTGCCTGGGGTGGCTCCCACGCAGGTGTCTGTAGAGCGGGCCCTCGCACTGGCCCTGGAAGGTGAGAAGCTCATTGACAGCAGGCACTATGCTGTGGACTCCATCCGCCCCAAATGCCATGAGCTCCAGCACCTGTGCAACCAGTTCGCGGCAGAGGTCGAGAGGAGGAGGGGGCTGCTCAGCAAGTCCCTGGAGCTGCACAGCCTCCTGGAGGCGGTGAGACCCCTCCCCATGCCCTCCTGGTCCCGCATGGTCCCCCTCCCCACACCTGCCTCTCCCACGTGGACCGCAGTCACTGGCTGGAAGCTGACCCCACGCCCTGCTGTCCACGGGCCTGTCTCGAGGCCCAGCCAGTCACAGATGCCCATTTCTAGAATTCACTTGCCATAGCTGATACATCTTGCCGAGGACCAGAAATTCTCTGCACTTGGCCCCTCTGTCCTCTGTGTGAACGAGTCCAGGCCGGATGACGCACGTAGCCTTGGGGTGCCGTGTAGCTGGGTTGCAGAGATCCCCAGAATTGTGGCGGCCGCCGGTGGGACGGGAGGGCCCCGGCCTAGCACGCGTAACACACACGCCAAGACCCAGCCTCTGACGGGCCCGCTCTCTCCCTCTGCCGTGCTTGGCGTGTCCAGTCCATGAAGTGGTGTGATGAGGGAATCTACCTGCTGGCCTCACAGCCTGTGGACAAGTGTCAGTCCCAGGAGGGTGCTGAGGCGGCCCTCCAGGAAATTGAGAAGTTTCTGGAGACTGGCGCAGAAAACAAGATCCAGGAGCTCGACAGAATCTACCAGGACTATGAACCCGTCCTCACCACAGACCTGATGGTAAGTGGGGCCCATGCTTGTGGTGGGGGCAGGGGCGGCCGCCATGAGCTCTTCCGGGACCCTGGACGTCTTGAGGCTCAGCTTCCCCTCAGCACAGGATTCCGTGACCCGGCGGCCCTCCTGTGCCTGGGGTCTTTCCCTGCAAGACCACCACTGGGGGCACCCCCACCCGGTTTCCCCAGCACCCCGCCTCCTGCGTGCCCCCCTGTACATCGCGCCGACCCCAGCCCCCACTGCCGCCCAGCCGGCTGCCTACCCCCCAGGGCACCCACAGGGTCACACCCTTCCCGCAGGGAACGTGTGGGGGCCACGTGTCCCTCCCTTCCAGCTGACTCTCCTCAAAGCTCCAGGTCCTGCATTCCACGGGGTCCCACCCCTCCCTCCTGCGGCGGGGGTGGGGGTGGGGGGAGTGCAGGGTTGTGCCCTGGCGGCTGGCTGTGACACTACAGCCCAGCCTCTAAGGAGGCCAGGCCTCTCACTGTGCTGGCATCGCTGGCTCACGAGCCCACACACCTATCCCTTCAGGAGCACGTGCAGAAGGTCTACCAGAAGCAGGAGGGCACGGAGGAGATGTTCCACCGGAGACAGGCCAGCCTGAAGAAGCTGGCGGCCAAGCAGACACGGCCCGTGCAGCCGGTGGCCCCCCGGCCAGAGGCACTCACAAAGTCACCCTGCCCCTCCCCAGGTGTGCACAGCCACCACCCCTCCCGTCCACGGTGGGCCCTTGCCCAGTTTGTAAATGAACTTTTATCGGCACAGGGCCAGTGTGTGCCGAGTGGTTGGGGCAGAGAGGGGGTGGCCCGTGGACTAGGACATCCACTGGCTGTCCAGGGACTTTTCCCCGGTTAGCATTCTGGTGTCTGCCCTAGCCCATCTGTCCTCAGTACTATTGCCAAAATGGTTCTCCTTCAGCATCTCTGACCACAGCCCAAAGCCCCCGAGGCAGCAGCCCCTCATGGGCTCCTTGGAGCCCCTCCTGCAGCGGCACCTGCCCGCCGTCCTCTTCGGGGCTTTGGCAAGTGGGCCGCAAGTTGGTGAGACTGTGGAGAGCCGGCCCCCTCCCGCCACCTGCTGCAGCATGTGGCACCCATCAGAAGGGACCCTGGCCCCTGGCCTGGTGGTGTCTGGGTCCCTCGTGCTCACAGACTCCGTGCTAGCCTGTGCGGCCGGCCATCTTCCCGCTCACCTGTCTCCCACCTGCTCTCCTCTTTCTCCATGTTTCTCTGCTTTCCTCGCCCTTCTCCAGGGCACTTGCTTCTTTTCTCTCTGAAAGTTCAAAGTAACCCCAGGTGCTCCCAGGTCCAGTCCTTCCTCTCCAGGCAGTAAGGTATGAAGCCACGTCTTCCTTCCCCACTTCTTTCCAAACCAGGCAGCCGGAGAGGCTCTGAGAACAGTCCTGAGGGCAGCATGCTCCGGAGAGGGCCCTACAGGAGGGCCAAGGTGAGGCCACAGTCCATGCTGCCCCCACAACAGCTGCCCGCCATCGCGGTCCAGCACCACCAGGCTCCCCCTGCCCTGCCTGTGCCGTGGGACCTCAGATTCCTCCCCAGATGGGGAATGAGGTGGGGCTCCTTGAAGCCAGGACGCCAGGCTGCACCTTCTGGCATCTGAATGCTCAATGCGCTGCGTGCTCGTCTTTCCCCAGAGCGAAGTGACTGAGAGCCGGCAGGGCCGCGGCAGCTCCACAGGCGACGAGGAGGAGAGCCTGGCCATCTTGAGGAGGTGAGCGGCTCTGGTCCAGACACGGCAGGTGCGACCCTGTCAGATCTCCGCCTTTGGCCGCAGAGAATCCGAGTGCAAAGAAGCCAGAGCTGTTGGATAGTCAGCTTCTACCCCAAAGCTGGCGTCCTGGCGTGGACACACGTGCACCACGCTGTGGACAGATGTGAGGTCCACTTCTGGAACCAGGACTGATCCGGTTTCTCCTAGAAAAGCCTGTTGTCCCTGGACCCTCAGGCAGGACTCTGGTGACTTGAAATGTCTCGTGTCCCCCTTTCTCAAGCCGTAGGTGACAAGACTGATTCCACAGAGACAGGCGCGTAGCCACGGCTCCTCAGTGGGCTGCACCCGTGTGCTGGCGCCCTCTCTCTTCTCCCACCACACCTGCTCCGAGCGTCTTCTCTCTGTGCCCTTCCTGCTCTAATGCTTTCTCCACTGTCTGTGCCCCACTCACAGGCATGTGATGAATGAGCTCTTGGACACGGAACGGGTGTATGTGGAAGAGCTGCTCTGTGTCCTGGAGGTGAGTCTGCAGGGGTGGGGGGATGGCCAGGGAGCCCTGGGGCCCGTAGGCCCACCCGCCCCATGCAGTAAGGGTGAGAGGATGGTGGCGGCTTTACTCGCACGGCCCCACCAGCGGGACCAGGGACAAGGAGATTGAGGTACTCGGCTCAGGGACCCGCTCCAGCAGCACATGGCTAACCCCAGGAGTGTGGCAGGAGCGGGAGGCTGCGTGTGACTCCATTGCAGGAAGAGCTGAACCGTCTGGGTCTGGGTGGAGGCAGAATGGAGGCCCTGGAGGACTGTTGCCAGCAGGGCAGGGGGCTTCTGGGCACTGGAATGTTCTGGATTTTGGTCTGGGTGGTGGTTACAGGGGTGTAGACATTGAAATGAGTCATCAAGGAGTACCCCCAAGATTTCTCTCCTTCATACAAGTTACGTGAATCTTCAAAGTTAAAAAGCAGAAGGACAGATCCCCCCCCACCCAAAACAGATGGTGCTGTTTGTAGCTCACTCACGTTGGTCGGCACTTGCTGCCTCGTGGTCGTCCTAGAAACGGCCGGTGAATAAATATGGATGGATTCACTTTCTAAAACCTGAGAGGCATCCTCTCCCCGCGGGCCTCCCTCCAAGCACGTGATGGAGGCCGCATTCCGACCCCTCCCCTCCACGCAGGGCTATGCCGCCGAGCTGGACAACCCGCTGATGGCGCACCTCGTCTCACCCGGCCTCCAAAACAAGAAGGACATTTTGTTTGGAAACATGGAAGAGATTTACCACTTTCACAACAGGTCAGGCCCTCCCCTGCCCACCCCTGCTGGGCACGGTCTGCCTCTAGAGCAGGCCCCTGCGGTGAGCAGGAACCAGTGGGCTCGGGTGCACGGCGCCCCCAGGCTGGTTCCCGCGGCCCACCCGCCAGCCCGGAGATGTCGGATGCCCGGTGCTTGGAGGATGCAGGAGCTGCCGGCCCACTCCCGCCGGCCAGCAGGGGCCGGTCTGCTTGGCATGAGCGTTGGGCCCTTTGGGGCAACCCCAAGGCCACACTGCCCAGCCAAGTGCATTTCGTTCCCAAGCCTGTTCTTGAAAAGGAGGCAACGGCAGACATCCCCATCCTGCCCTTCTCCCCTCGTGAGCGCTGTCTGTGGCCACCGTGGCTCCGGGGGCAGAACAGTGGTCCTTCTGTGGCTGTTCATCCCTGGCCCCTCACTGCAGTTTGTGGGAGCTTGTGGGGCAGGACACGAGGAGGTGGATGCAGGGTGCATGGGGAGGGGGCAGTCACACAGACGGCACGGGCCCTGCCCTCCTCTGGGCTTCTTGTGTCTGACCACGTGCTTTCGCCCCTCGGTCGCTAGTGTCTCTCACCCACTGGTTCACAGAGGAGGCACCGGTCTGCAGCCGGGCCCTCTGGACCCCACCCCTTTCCACAACGGAGGCACACGTCAGGTGGCCTGGTCCCTCAGTGTCCTTGGCTCACCCCAGCCTCCGCCCTGGGTCCCTAGTGGCTCTAAGCCACGGTGCTAGTGTTGTGAACTGACCCCAGGGAGCTCTCCCTCCCAGCAGATTCACCCCAGGCTCCGGCTGGGCATCTGGGAGTGTCTCTGGGGCAGAGCTACCTGGGTGTGGGCAGGGCTTTCACAGCTGGGCCTCATGCCTTTCTGTCTGTTGAAAAGGAGCTGTCCCAAGTTCTGTGTGAACACCGATGTCAGAAACATGAAGGGACCCACGAAGGGGCCAGAGTGCTTAAACCTGAGAGTTTGCTTCAGCCAGGACCCAGGAGTGACCCGTGTGGTCTGCAGACTATCCAGACTTAGAAATAAAAGTCATCAGGAAAATAGTATCTGTTGATTTGTTATAGGAAGTGTCTCCTTTGGGTTGCTCATCGCGTGACCTAATGCAAACTTTCTTTGTCTAGAATATTCCTGAGGGAGCTAGAAAACTACACTGACTGCCCAGAGCTGGTTGGAAGGTGTTTTCTGGAACGGGTATGTGCTGTTTCAACATATGCTTGATGGTGCCTTACTTGTTAAAATAATAATGACTTTAATGTGTTTTTGTTTTGTTTTGAGAAAGAGTATGGGGGGCGGAGAGGGGCAGAGAGGGAGGGAGACACAGAATCAGAAGCAGGCTCCAGGCTCCGAGTTGTCAGCACAGAGCCCAACGCGGGGCTTGAACTCACAAACCATGTGTCATGACCTGAGCTGAAGTCGGACGCTTAACCGACTGAGCCACCCAGGCTCCCCAATAATGAGTTTAAACCCTATCACAGTCTCCTTCTAACCAACTGAAATGACAAAGTTTCACTCTGTTCCTGGTTTGCCTGAGAGGATGTGATACTTTCTGGAAGGGCCAAAAGTATATTTTTTCTCAAGTCCAAAAAGTTCAAAAAAGGGAAAAAGTATAAAACATCAGCATTTCGAAATGCCAGATTTATAAAGCATCTGTCTTGCCTGCACACGTTAGACAGAGCTGAACTTTTCTTGAGGTGGTGTTAGTGTCATGTCTGGTCTTTCCCTGGTCACCCCTCTCTGCCCACCCCCATACTAGCAGGTGTGGGACGGGTCCCCTTATCTTTCTCCCTTTGAAACTGCAGACGGCCCCTCTTCCAGGCAGGGAGAAGCAGTGGGAGAGGACAGGGCATCCCCTCAGGCCAGCTTCACACACTGCTCGCTGAGCAGTGTGGCAAATGTAGCGAAAGTGAAGCCATTTTCACAAAATGAGATGGAGGCTAAGACGCGTCACCATGAACTAGGGCCATCGTGCAGAAGGAAGGAGAAGGGGCCGCATTTGTCCTCCGACCCTGCCTGCTCACTGGGGACGCTTCTGGGTGCTGTTTGAGAATTGGGGTGGAGGGTTCCTTCACACTGCAGGTCAGTGGTTCTCAAAAGAGGCCCCCTGGCCGACAGCACCAGCATCCCGGGATCTTACGGGGAATGCAGGTTCTCAGGTCCCGGCTGCAGCTGCTGAAGCAGAACCTGAAGTGCGGCTCTGTGTCGTAACAAACCCGCAAGCGGTCCTGGTGCACACGCAGGTCTGCACGCAAGCCCTGCGTGTTCTTCCCCTGGGAAGTGTGCGTGCACTTTCAGTCTGTTATCCTCACGGCACAGAGCCAGCCGCGTGGTGCTAACCCGTGTGAAAGGCGTCTCAGGACTAGCGCAGCCCTGAGCAGTGGTCCCTGGGGGAGCCGTTTCACAGCTGCCCCACAATGAAGGACGCAGTGTCTGTGGTGGAGGAGGTGCACGGGGTGCGGGGCTGTCGAATCGCACCCCGAGGCACTCTGTGACGTGCACTCTGTCCCCGGCCCAGATGGAAGAGTTCCAGATCTACGAGAAGTATTGCCAGAACAAGCCTCGCTCTGAGAGCCTGTGGAGACAGTGCTCCGACTGCCCGTTTTTCCAGGTGTGTCTGGGGACCCTCCTCGTGAGAGTGCCGTCTCCTCATTAGCTGACTGTCACACAGGGAACAAGAGGACCCTGTAAAGAGGTTTCTGGGACTTGCAGGAATGCCAGAGGAAGCTGGACCACAAGCTGAGTCTCGACTCCTACCTGCTGAAGCCAGTGCAGAGAATCACCAAGTACCAGCTGCTGCTCAAGGTGATGTGCCCGCAGCCGCCTGCCGCCCCTGCTGCGCCCTCCCAGCCCCACACCCCTGCCAGGGCCCCGTCTCTTCACAGATCTGTGTGGAGGACTCACTGTCCGCCGGCCATCATGGAGGGGGGGGGGGCGGGGAGCACAGAGGTGACCAGATGGGCAGACTTGTGGAGCACACACTTGCCACTCGCCCTGGGCCGTGCGCTCACACACAGTCCTCCCTGCAAGGCCGGCCCCGGTGCACAACCCGGTGGACATGAAGGGCATGCCTTCAGCTGTCCCATGTTTGGGGGTGCCAGGTTGGAGACAAAAGAGTACCCAGGTCTAGGAGTGGGAAGGCGGGAGCTGCACAAGGGGCCTCGCCCCATCCAGGCCTGGCCGCCTGCCTCGGGAGGCGTCCCTGTGTGCAGCGTCAGGCAAGACTGTGGGAGTGAGGCACGGGGCGGCGGGCCTGGCGGTGGCTTCCTGAGCTGGTCTGAGGCCCGCGCCCCGGGCAGACCCACCACGAGCGGCCTTGTCCGCGGTGCCAGCTGTGCAGGGAGCCGTGCTGCATGTCCTGAGGGTCCAAGCATGGGCACGCAGCACGGAGTAGAGCGTCCAGTGCCCTGCGGGTGTGTGAACGCGGCCTCGTCCCCCAGGAGATGCTCAAATACAGCAAGAGCTGCGAGGGGGCTGAGGACCTGCAGGAGGCACTGAGCTCCATCCTGGGCATCCTCAAGGCCGTGAACGACTCCATGCACCTGATCGCCATCACCGGCTATGACGTAAGGGCCTCCCCGTCCGCTGAGGAGCCTGGTGACGGTCCACCCACCGTCCTTGCAGAGCTGTGCCTGGGGACATCCGTGTGCGGGTGTATCACCTGCATACGCTGGGGCGTGCCCTGGCGCACGGGGACATGGGAGCCTTCACACCTCCCGCACCCACACGTCCCTGCACCCGCACCCACACCCCCCTGCACCAACACCCTCGTGCACCCACACCCACAACCCCCGCACCCGCCCACACGC